TTCCAGTGTAAAGTGCATTGAGCTACTTTTTTTGGAAATGCGCTATATAATGTTATATTATTATTATTATTATTATTTACACCTTTACTGTGCTGAGACTTGTCAAATACCCAATTTTTACAATCTAATAAATTACAAAAATAAATTATCATTCATGTCAATTACCATAATTATTCAACTCATATAGTAAAATAGTTAAAGGGTGTCACTAAAGGTCATTAATAAATAAAGTCCAGAGAGAATCTTACGTGTTGTTATGAAAGAACCACACTCTTGAAAGAGGAAGAAAGATGGTTAAGTGCATGATACTGGCACAAGACAATTTGGCTTGGAGAACCATGATACGTCTATCCAAGCCTTAGGACGACACATAACCATAACAACAACAATGATAGCATCAACAACAACAACAACAACAACAACAACAACAACAACAACAACATCGCTGCCATTTCAAAGACCAAGGAATGGAGCAGAGTGCAGATAAGACACGGTTTGCGAAAAATTAATGTCCAGTCAAACATACCTTTTCTGGCCATAGTTTGGTGCAACTGGACACTTTGTCATAGAGTGTTCCACCTGGAAAAAAAAGCGTTGTCACTATGAATTTATCTTAATCCTCATAAAAAAAAATTTTATGGTTTGCAATTATTTTATAAAGTTGAATATTCATTGATGCTCCTTTCAAAGAAATTAACAGTGTAATTTTAACCAGATCGTATGACATTAATCATGAAAAGGTAGGCCTTCTATTATTCCAACACAAATACGTAGAAAACACAAACTCAAACACACAAAAGGGGATATAAACCCCACCACCACCTCTCTCTCTCTCTCTTCCCTCTCTCTCCTCTCTCTCTCTCTCTCTCTCTCTCTCTCTCTCTCTCTCTTCTCTCTTCTCTCTCTCTCTCTCTCACAGCTTCACCCATAATGTAAATGTGTGGACACCCAGTGCATAAGCATGAACTTATGATATTCATAAAGTCAATATCACTTATCATGTGATAAGATTTTATTAAACAAATTAATTCATCTGTCTTCCTTTGAGAAGTTGATAGTCTCTGATGGATATTTCATAAATTTTGAGGCAACGTGGTGAAATCAGGCACTTGTCAAAATAATGTATTCAAAGAAATCAGCATTTTTTGCCAGATGGGCAATTTTTTATAATTTTTTTGGGGGGTCAACACATTTTATGTCCATTAACAAACACATTTTAGTGAGCAGTTTCCAAGGACTCTCAGGCCATGGAAGCTACCAAACTTTGGCGGCCATTTTCTTGTCAAGTTTACCTCTGAAACCAGACGACCCTGACCTCCTTCAATCGCAATTATTGCAACTTCTATTCAACATAGATGGATATTTTTTTCACCAAAAGCAAGACAAATGAACAGGCTTTAAGATGATATCAATACCCCCATTTACCCAAAAATTGACGAGCGCCTGATTCCACCAGGTCCTGACACAATTGACAAAAGGCAATTAATAAAGCAGATGAATTAAATACACATGGCCCTTCCTAAAACTATAAATATTTCCTTGAGATTGTGTAGCTTAACAGTAAAGGACTGAGTTAAACCAAAAAACAAATAGAGTTCCCCAATACAAAGTGTATTCCAAAGTGATCCCTGTACATTCCTTATCCAGATATAATTTACCTATTATCAAAATGCTTGCAGTAAGAGTGCAAAAATATGTCTAGTACTCTGTAGAGATAACATTTTGAGATCAGAGATGTAGAGATAACATTTTGAGATCAGAGACTCATGGAAAGTAATAAAAACGTTCACTTGATATAATTTGAAAGGTCAAAAAGAGAATGGTACAACTTCACTAAGCAAAGTCAATTTCAAGGGACACGTACTGTGCATTCGCTGACTGCTCTGATGTACTGTACTATTGTTAAAATATCATCTGTACTAATATAAAAGCAATATATCATCTCATTAAATAGACATTTGAACTTTATTCAACTCACCATTGGCATACTCCATTTCAATGAATAGAGTGTCCTCATCAACAAAGTGATTATAGTAACTGATAATGTTTGCATGATTCACAAAAGATAGGATGTCAATTTCGTTTTGGGAGTCTCTGCGCTGTTTCTCATTCAGCCTTCCTAAATTCACCTCTTTCCAAACAACCAGGCTGTTATCCTGCAAGTAAAAAAAAACAATATACATGTATATAAAAGCTTTGTTTATCCCTCCATATTATGCATTAGTACCTTTTGTTTAACACCGTCTTTCTAGCCTCACTGATTTGATCTAACGTAGACCAAATGTGCATACAAAAAGAACATACAGTCGAACCTGTGTAAGACGGAATCGCAAGGGAGCCAGGAAAAAATTCCGTCTTAGACGTTTTCCGTCTTAGACAGGGGAATTTAGGGAGGTTCAAAGGCCCAGCCAGTGGGATCAAGGATCGTTTGTCCGATCGGCAAGCAGTGGTCAAAACTTCACACCTCTCAATTGCTAGCCTGTCTGATAATGACATGCGTCAGTCTTACTTAATTACTGCCAGTGCTTTGCATTTCATAGGACCACTGTTTGACCTATTAAAAAAGGAAACGTTTGAACATCTCCTTTGCTTCCACCCTTAGCCCCACCCATCGGTGTAACAAGCACAGTCAATCAATGCCATCCCTCACTGTCATTATGTGACATGACAACGATTAGATGAACTCTTTTCTCAGCTGGCCGTACCAGAGCGGCAGGCATTGGTCAATCTAATTTCACACCTCTGGCTTCTGGCTACCCAGGAAAGTTCCCACAGTGGCTCGCTACTAGAGCACTCTCATGGGCAATCGTGAGATTTCACACCCACACCACATTGACCATCTGCATCGCTCAGGGCTCACATGATGGGGTAACATCTACCCCCAAATTGCACCCTTACTCCCCTTCCTCGCCCAGTGGCATGGCCATGGCGTTAAGTTTAGAGCCGGAGGAACCAAACTTCCGAGGGGTTTTTTTCAAATCAGGGGAGAGCGAGCAAAGCTTTTTCCGTCTTAGACAGGTGAAACCTTCCATTTCCGTGCTGGACAGGTTTCTGTTTTATACAGGTAATTAAAGAGGAATATATCGTCGCCTGAATCACGTACCATTGTAACCGACAAAATGGGGTTTCGAGCTACGGAGGTTTAAAAGTTTTGCGCAATTTTTCAAATTCCTGCAGTGAACGAACTGAACGTAATATCTTATTGATTTTTGGTTTGTATACTTTATGCCATATTTTCTGTCACTGCTTCAGAAAATCAATTTAATTGCTTACTTAGTGAAAAAAATGTCACTTACGTTAATACGTGAATGCAAAGTATGTAGCGTACAGTCCCTTACGCTACACCATATGCCGCTTATGATGTTTCTTAAAAGACGAAACAAACTATAAAGTTACAGTTATGTTATTTTATTTTGAAAGAAAAAAGCTTGTTGAGGCATTTTACCGGTACTTACGGGTGGTTGAGTTTCACAAATGGATGAATCAGTAATATAAACAGACTTGCAACTTTGGAAATAGGTTGAATCGGCAAAACAACAACATAGACCGCGAGCAAGTTCATGATTTATGCGCGTCACTTTGCAAGTTTGCGAGAGAGGGAGAGAGACAGAGACAGAGACAGAGAGAGAGGGGGGCAGGAGGGAGGGGAAGGAAGAGAGACAGGAGAGGGAGAGGCGGAGGCAGAGAAAAAGGGAGAGGGAGAGAGAAAGAGAGAGAGAG